CCCCAAAACCCCAAAACCCCAAAACCCCAAAACCCCGGCATTAAACATTCAATTTTAAGATTCTAGCAAAAGTAATAAAGCCATTATTAAATTGAAATAGAATTATAAAAGTAATTTCTAAGAAATTTTAAATAAGTAATTAACTGAATGGAGTTTTAATCAGATCAGAATGATGAGTTAATCATTAGACTCTCAGATATTGATGGTTAACAAGGCGATGAGGCATTTGTCACAATGTGCAAAAGCAAATCTTAAAGTGTCAGCAATAGGAATGAGCTTAAAAGACCGAGAATGAGATCATCTTAAATGTCAGGATTCAGTTACAACACCTCCAGAACTTCATCTGCAATTTTTACTGCTCAGAGCTTCACTTTTGACGAAGAAGAATTAGGCATTTATCCAAGGTTATTGACATGTCCTCATTGCTTTTAATCTGGAATTTCTATTGTAAAGTTATAAAATAGTCGAATGGCGTATACAGCAAGTGGAGTTTGCTGTCTATTGGGTTGCTGGGCTGGATGTCAGTGCATTCCTTTATGTCTTGAAAACTTCAAAGAGAGTGTTCATTCTTGCAGGAGCTGTGGAGAAATTATTTCTAAAGTTAGGAACTAATGATGATTTAAAGAAGTCAATTAAACCTATGCTTAATTTATAGATGATAACCTTATGTAATATACAAGGTGATCATTGAAAATGCTGTTAAAATATCATTTATTAATGCTAATTATATGAAAATTAAGTTTGTTAATTTGCTTAACTATATTGATTCCAAATCATAAATTTTAAGTTCATTTGTGACAAAAACTCATCTAAGCTCGACAGCCTTTTCAAAATCTAGGACTCCAACAAATCCATTGTGATCTCTATCCAAGTATTCAATAATGTTTTCAATATCATAGGTGGAAAGATTATATGTGCAATTAAGATACATCTTGAGATTTCTGATGTTAATGACAGCCTATTAATTATCAATTGATTGTGCCATTGAATCCAAAAATGGTTAAATTGCTTTTCTCATATCGATTCCTTTTCCTTAATTAGTACTTTTAATTCTTATCAATGCTTGTCTAGCGATGGTGTCATTTCCTGATGCGAAAGACTTCACCACAAAATCTATATGCAATTAAAATCTAATAAAATACCTTTGTAGAAGAAATTTGTGAAGTTAAGTTTTGTTAGAACTCCACTTTACTCTGGAGCATAAAAGCCATTAATTGCATTAATTACTAGATTGGTCTCTTCTTCAGACAGCTCGAATTGTAGTAGATATTTTACGATCTCTCTATAGATAGAATATTAAGAACTTAAATAATAATTTACTTGAAGTCTTGAATTGTAATAACTTTTTTGTCTCTGGAGAATTTCTCAAACAATCCTTCTGGTGTCATTTTCTTTTTCTTCATCAAAGTCTTGATTGGAGTCATGAAATCGTGTAGTACAAATTTAAGTTTATTCTCGAGTGTCATAGGCACAGTCAGAGCTTTCTTGAAATCTTCTTTACTAATTTTACCAGTTCCCTTTATATCAAAGTGTTTGAAGATTGCATCGACTTCAAACTTCTCAACATCTTTGTGAAGCAAGGTTATCATCTCATTGAATTCAAAAATATCCATCTCCCCATTCTTGTTGTTATCCACAGTCTCAAATACCTTTTCAACTGATAAATCTACTCCAGTTTATATTGCTTTTTTTAGTTGGTCTAGTACGTAGACACAATGAATCATTGAGCACTCATTAATAATTTCATCAATAGATATGCTATTGCTATTATCCTTATCAATAGCCATGAACAACTCAAGAGCCTCCTTATCGTCTAAATAGTTCTTCATACCCATTGTCAACTCTCCTATTGTAAGAGTCTTAGATTTATCTTTATCCAGAAATTTGAAAAGAGTGTGCAAATCTAATCCTTAAGAAACAAGATTCTTCTGGATTTTTTCTTTGATATAATTAATTCTTGGGTTATGAGTTCTTGATTAATGCTGTTATAATTATAGTAGGGGTGCTCTGCCATCTGGGACCTTGTCCATTGAGATTCTCATGATAGTCTCATAGAAGTAAAATTTCATTTCTATTTAATGGTCTCCAAAGAAACTAATAACGTCATCTGAGTTGGGACAATATTTGTCAAAGATTTATCTATACTACTCAAAACTAGCATATTCTTGCCCTTTAGGAAGCTATGATTAAAATTCATTGATCAGGTGATAGGCTTGCTGTTTAACTATATCTAAGATAGACTTAGATTTTTATTCCAATTCCATTTTGGCCTTCCCCGAATAATTTGATAAATTTGTAAGCTATTTATGTAGCTCTTCTTATTGTCTATTTGAGCTAGATCCGAAACCTTGGTTATAGCCTTCAAATCCTGGAGTATCGTTGACCCTCTGGTTGATAGTATCCCGCATGAATGGATTTTTTATATTCTAGGTAGTCTGCATTCCGTATCCCATTGAATTAGATTGATTGAAGCTCTGAGCAGTCTTATATTTCCTTTGCAATTCATTTTGCTCCTAGTATAGTTTTTGCCTTGCTTCTAATATGTATATCTCAAAAATGTTTTTGAAGTCAGCCAACTCAATATATTCCTTATTCTGAATGTATCTGTTTGTTTTAAGGAAAATGTCTATTTCCTTCTCTTGCACTCTCATGAATTGAAGTAGATAAGTCTTGAATCTCTACTTTGAGATTTTGTTATTCTCCCCATTCTCCAAGAGCATGTCAAAGATAATTTCAATGTCTGAGTTAGATTCTGCAAAAATTTTGGCTATTTTTAAAATGATATCTCTCTCAGTAATTTTGCTCATCTTAAATTCTACGTCAAGATCTCTTTCATTTAACTCGTACGGATATGGAGTAAAATCTTTGCAACTGATTCTAATCTAGACTTTACCAGTCTCATTGTTTTCGGTATCAACTAAACCAAGTGTGTCTTCAAACTCTTCATTGACTAATAACTGATTGAGTGGAATTCTGACACTTCCAATATAGTCATTTTGATTTGAATCTAAGTCAACTGATTCATCCATAAAGTCAATCTTTAATATCTGTGATTTCATATACTCAAAGAACTGATCATTCAACTCAAACTCATAGGTTTTTTGAATCTCGAAGATAGGACTATTTCCTTGGAGAACTGGTGAGATGTACTGGAAAGTAAAGAATGTGTAATGGAAGAACGGCATCATTTACTTTGAGTTATACTGCTGACCTGGCCTTCTCAAGTCAAAGCATTTGACTATTTGAATAGTGATAGCCTTTTGCTTTCTCTTAGCATACATGTCTATATTCTGAGAGTATTGATTAATAATAGTATTTGGATCTCTCTTCTTCTTTAAAGCCACTCTTTGCTAGTACCATTTGATTGCTTCGTCTATTGGCTTTCTCATTCTCATTTTATAGAAGATTTTTCCAATGCTAAATGTAGAACCTAGCTCTCCTCCTTCGTATAAGATTTCTTAAGCCTAGAAGGTCAGATCTCTTTCCAATATTTTGGAGAGGACAAGCCGAGCAGTTCCGATTTTCAAGAACTTTTGAGCCCTTTGAAGGAAAACATCAATCGTGATATATTTTTCTTCTAGATACTAAACATAGAAATCATCAACATTATTTTTGAAACAGAATTAGGTGCTAAAGTTAGGTTCGAATCCCTCACTAACTGGACCAGGTTTAGAGTCATGGTTGTAAAAGTCAACAGAGATGAATGTGTGAACAGCACCAGGCAAAAGCTCTCTGTTTCCAAGTAATTGGGACAGTCTTTGCTTATCAAACTAAGCCTTGCTGACTATCAAGTCCAAATAGTTTTCCTAAGGGGAAATTTCAGAATTGTCAGTCACTGCTGAGAACTCAGTAAGAACATCATCATCCTTAACACCATGTCTCAATTTCTCAAGTTCTTGATCTAATTAAGCAAGTCCAGCAGCAGTTAGCTAGCCATGAGTAAATCCTCCTTGCTTTGTTATTGTTAAAAGCTTCTAACTTCTTGCATTTATCATTAGGTTAAGATCATTGATCTTTTGGTTTTCACCAATTATAAGTGATTTTAGCCTATTAATCTCCTTGTGATTATCATCTTAATGTTCTTTGTCTACACTAACAAGCATTTTTAGCAATTTCTGAACTCTTTCAAGTTCAGCTGCCAATTCACTCTTCTCTGTTTTAAGCCTTTAAATCTCTTTAGTCAGTTGATGAGGGTCATTCTCGTCTATTGGCTAGTTATTAGGTCCAATTCTTAGTCTCTCCAAGAAGTCAAATTTAGCCCAAACAGGCTCATCGCCATCATAATGCAAGTCTTTCATTACCTGTCTGAACATGGAGGGATCCAACTCATGAATCCTTCTCTATATCTCAGCCAGTGAGAGGTTGCTTGGGTCCATCTGCATTCTCATTCTATCAATCTCGTCTTGATAAATATCTCTATCTATCTTTAAGTTCTTCTCCTCTTCTTTTAATTTCCTAATCTCCTCATCTATTGTCATGAAGTTAGCCTTAGAGTCTTTAATTAGTTTATCTAACTCTTCTGACTTATTTTGCAGCGAGTTGTTCTACTGAAAGGCATTTTGATCCATCTCTCTTTTGAAAAATGGCTGTTTAGTCACCTAACCAAACTGCTGCTATAACTCATCCCTCTACTTCTAGGCTTCCTCTACTTCCTGTTAAAACTGCTTGGCTAGTTCGGCCTATTACTCAAACGACCTATTATCATCCAACAGCCTAATGTAGTCTTATTTAAGCTGTTTCAGCTCAGCTATCAGTCCATTTTGATAGGCTTCATTTTAAGAAAACATTTCATATCTCAGTTTCAGGTTGTCATTTAAGTCTTCTAGTTTTGCCTTTTATTATGCAACTTTAAGTTCTTTTTCTCTGAGTTACATGATAAGCTCTTCAGGCGCAATTGAACCAGTTGTGGCCCTCTTGGACATTTCGATCTCTCTTTGCAGCTCCATAATCTGCTTTTAGCTTTTCTCAATGTGCTGTCTATAGCTTTGGACATCAAGTACAAATTCATGGTTCTTGTTAGGTGATCTGCTTCTATTAACATCATAGCCATCTGTGGTTTTTCTCAATTTCTTGTTGATCTCAGTATTGGTTGAACTAATGTGAGTTTATCTTAGCTTTTACAACTTCTTAACCTTCCTAGTCAGGTCTTGCTCTTCATCTTGCAGTCTCAGATTGTCTTCAATCATTTTATCAAGGTCCTCGTCAATTTTATTGTAGAGCTGACCACCTGCTCCTAGAATTCTATCCTTTTTCAAAGTATTAATTTATCTCTTTAACTTTGCTGCAATACTAATATTTAAATATTATACTAATATGTATTTTTACAGTTTAACATCGTCTTCAAGTTCTTGCTTTTTACTTTTTAGATGTATGTTCTCATCCCTCAGAACCAATAACTTTTCGTTTACATTTTTAAAATCAGGCTTAATGTCCTTTTTCTTAGGCGACTTATTCTTTTTTCTCTCTTTACTAGGTATGCAATGTCCATGATGTTCTATTAAGAATTTCTATTACTAAGAATCAAGGCTTACCTATATTGCTGTTCATTTGCTCCCTTCTTCGAGAGTAGTCATCATCTCTCATTGAATCCTTTTAGGCTTTCATTTTCGATTTGAATTTATCTAGACTATTAATTTAAATTATTCAAACACTCAAAAATATCAGCATTCACGGGGTTTTGGGGTTTTGGGGTTTTGGGG